AGTTTGGGTAGCTGTTAGAGGCAGATAATTCTATGACTCTAGGTAGTTGTTTAGCTCAGACCAGGGAATATATTCAGATGCTCCTTGCGTCTCACAGTGAAGTGCAGCTGCTGCTTCAAAAAACAAAATACAATGTAAAAAAAAAAAAAATCCTGACCAGACTTCTCAGCCAACCCTTATTCAAAGGGGAGTGCCTTCTGTTAGAATTCCAGTGTTATTACTGTACATGTTTAACATCAGAAATACTGAAAGTATAGATTGTTTGAAATCTCTCTGACCTGCTGGAAATCCCCTATGGTCTTTGTTGTTCTCACTGTCTTCACTGAAGAAAGGTGAAGTGTATTTGTTAAGACAGGCTGGCTCTTATTTATTTTAGGTGGTTGTTTCACAACCACTAGAGAGCAGTCACTGACTTTCTTCATGTGCCTGGAATACTTTCTGCAGCTCATCAGTGAAGTAATGCACTGATTTAGCAAAGGCAATATTGACCTTTTCTAGTATGTTTATTAGCAGAGGCTGAAGAAGTGACATGAATTCTTATCCTGGTTAAGGAAGTGACCAAAACCTAGTCACTCAGAAATAGTGTACCTATGAATTCATCTCTGAGCTATTCAGGCAGTTCCCACCATGAATAAATGATTTAGTGGAAACAGTTAACGTTTTAGCTCCTCCTCACAAGAACTTTTTAATCTTCCAGCTATTTAGAAATGACAGTGAGTTGTAAATTCCTACTGTAATGGTCTCTCTGATCTGTAGAATGAGGAGTCCACATAGATGCCACCTGTGGAAACCAGAGGCATGATTAATAGAAGACCAAAGAGAGCATTTCCAATGAGCCAGTACCATTCTAGAAAGAATAACATTCCTCAGATTCTGTAGTAGTAGTTGGGATCCACACTGGCCAGCCCATGCAACAGCACTCTGACTGTCAGCGAAGGTACTGGGATGCCCGTAGATTATATTAGTCCATAATGCAGGCAGCTTGGAGATTATTTTTTTTCCTACCAAAAACTGTCCATAAAGAAAGACTTTGAAGTCACTTGTGGGTTGCCAGTTAAGTTTGTTTTTAAATCTGGCTTTGCCAGATCCTGGTTTGAGAGCAGAAAAATGAAGATAATGGGAAAGATGAGGTTTATGGATCCATCTGAAGATCTTTCTGGGTAGATTGGGGTCTGTGTTTCCCTGGATTTCCTCTGACACACAGTTGTGGACTTTGAGGTGATGATGTATAAGGGAATTTATCTGCTCTTTCCTGAAAATTCCCTTTCAGGTCCACTGATTTAGGTGACTTTGTATGAAAAGGGCTCATCTGGAGTCAGATAAGGATGGAAAACAGGCATCCAGAAAGTTCTTGTATTCATGAGAGTCTTTGCTGCACCTCTGAGAGGAGCAACACAGAAGTGGCAAGCCAGGGGAGGGTGGCCCTTTGGGCTCTAAACCTCCTTTGGACCCTCCCAATTCTGGGCTGCTCCAGAAACCAGAGCATCTCCTGGGGTAATTTAGGCAGCCTTGGGAAGATTTCTAAGTTACAGCCTGGCAGGCTATGCTGGCACTCTCCAACGTGCTACATGCTGTGGCTCTGCTCCCCGTATGTCGGAGCTTGTGAGGCAGCCTTTGGAAAGCCGCCTGTGACTGTCTTCCTCAGTTCCTGCACTGGGTGAACACTGCCCCCCACCTCCTGCCAGGTCTGAGGTTTTCATCCCCCTTTATGCCACTCCAGTCCTTTTACCCAGGAGGAGTAGAGGAGTGGGGTAGGGATGTTCTGCAGTAAAATAAGCTATTATTTGAGGTATATTTTAGATTTATTTTGGGGAAATTAGGTGCAATGATCCTGGCTATGCTAGTTGTCTTACTGATGAGCTCATCAAAGGTTGGGCACTCCCCTCCTGTCAGTGATACAGGCCTGGTTCGGTCCCTAAGCTGCAAGCTAGCTGGAGACCTGTCATAATGGATCTATGGACTTTATTACTTGACGAAAGAACACCTGCAGGTAAACATGGATACATGTTACTATTCGGGCAAGCTGTGCTATCCTGATGAGCCTAACTGACCTTACCCTGGGTTGATGCAGAGTTACCCTCAAACAACCCTACCCCTGTGTATCTTCCAACCTCTGCAGGAGATAAGCTGCCCTCCAAGATATTAGGAAGCATGCTTTAGGGCAACTCCCATCCTGCAGATCTCAGAAAAACAAGTCAGAAAACGGGAAATGCCCCCACCCAACAAACCTCCTTTGTTTGCCTGTCCCATGGGACTATTTAAGAAACCTAAGGAAAATCCCAAACATGTACTACTTTGTGGTGAAGCTGTAGTTTCAGGTTACCGTCTCTGTGTGCTTCTAGATTTACAAGGAACCAAAACTTTTTTGACAATTGAACTAATTGAATTTCCTGGTTATCCAGCACTTCAGCTCTAGCATTCTTAATGATAATCTGCAATCAGAGCACCGCTGTAAGACATGTTAATGTGTCCCCTCCACCTTCTAGCTGTTTGGTTAGTGCTACCTTAACTTCCCCTTAAAGTTTTTAGTGTGGAAATTAATATGTTTTTGATCAGTTACCTTGCAGTTTCTTGCCATCGAGTTCATATGGAGCTTGTTTTCAAAAACTTCCATTAAAAAGCCATTTTTTTGTTGTGGGAATTTGATATGGCCCTTGCTTAGCTGATAATAGCTCCTTTGTTGAGCTGCTGGATACATATGAGCTCAGGTTTCTTACGTAGGCCACTTTCCTGATAGTGGTAGCTTCAGCTTAGAACATACAAGCTTCAGGCTCCAGTGATTGATACTTTACTCCAAATTCATCAGATAAGGAGGTGCTACAAGTGTGCTCTCCTTCTGAAGTTGTCAAATTTCCACTTTACTAATCCTGGTAACACTTTCCTCATGCCTGTATTCCCATGACAGTGATGCCCTTCTCCACAGTTTTATCTGGAGCAGATGATAGCCCATAAAAGGCTACCTGGGCTTTTTCTTTTTGTTTCATTCAACACTAATAGAGTTCTACTTATCGTAGGACTTGGTTCTGTTGCGTAATGTATTGTTGGAGCATCTCTCACATTAGATTGGTATAACACAACTCCATGAAGCCCATTAGGTCTTTATGCTCTTCTTCCTCCTCTGGTTATGATTCTGTTGTCTTGAATACAACTGTATTTATATAGCTGTGTGACTGCATCTCTCACAGGCTAATTCTGTACACTTTAAGTTTGTTATGGCAGCAAACTTCTGATCTGTTTCCACTCTGGAGATACGCAGAGTAGCCACACAAAGTTCTATGCTCACCCTCACCAATCTTTAAATTATGATCTGTGGACAGGAGTGAACAGCCAGGACCCACAGGCATTCCTTTGTTTTTCAAATTTATGTAAAAATTTCAATGATCCCAGAACAAATGATAACTTAAAATAGAAGACATGACTGGAAACTGTAAAACTGATGGAGAGAATCTTGTTTCTGCCTCAGTGGTGAGTAATAAGCATTAATGACACTACTGCTTCAGTAAACTATAGAATTATAGTGAAGGAAATCAATGCTAAGTACTTTTCTGCAAATGCAGGGGAAATGGCCTATGGAGTTAGACATGACTGTCAGGGAAGAAAAGAGAGAAACAAGTTATATTTTCTGACTGTTTTCTCAAAAGTGCTCAACACCTTGCAGCTGTCACTGGAAATAGTGGGAGCTCCTGGGTTCTGAGTTCCTATGAAAACCTGGCCCTAACTCTGCAGCTTTTTCTCAATGCTTGCTCTCTTTCAACCATGTGGTTTATTGGATGTATATTAATATATTGAAGGCCAAAATTCAGAAATCTAATGGATGTTGCTTTCCTAAGTTTGGTCCTGGTTCAGTGATTCATCTGGTATTTTGTCTTTGCAAAAACGAGCGAAGAATGAAAAGTGTCTATCTGCTGTCCGAAGCTTTAGGATCTTCCTTATTCTTCAGGTCATTGCATTAGGCCAAGAGTTCTCAAACTTCATTGCACTGTGATCCCCTTCTGACAACAAAGGGACCGAAGCATGAGCCCGCCCTAGCTCTGCTGCTCCGGAGGTGAGGGTGGGAAGGGGGAGGGTCCAAAGCCCAAGCCCCAATGGCCTGGGCAGGAGGGCCAAAGCCGAAGCCCAAGGGCTTCAGCCCCAGGCAGGGAGCTTGTAACTTAAGCCCCGCCACCCAGGGCGGAAGCCCTTGGGCTTTGACTTTGGCCCTGGCCCAGGGTGGTGGGGCTCAGGCTTTGGCCCTGGGCCTCAGCAAGTCTAAGCCAGCCCTGGCGACCCCATTAAAATGAAAATCTTTGAAATCTTGATTGCTGTTGCTTTAAAGCCCCTCCTTAACGCTTAGATTTTTCTGTGGTATCTTATGGTGAATGCTTACATACAGGGATATATGGTTTAAACAAAGAATGGATTACTGATGGTCACTTTCATAACAACTGCAAAGTTTCTGAGCTGACCAGTATTTCTGTGCCACTTTGAGTGCTTTTTAATTAATGCATTAATATGATGTGAGCCCATTATTATTCAGTAATATTTCATTCATATACATTCAAAATAAAATATAAATCATCTAATAAGTCATGCATTAAATGTATTTTGAGTAGTGTGTGTGTGGAATGCATGTGTAAACCATTGATGGGTGAAGCATAAAGGAAACTACTCGGTTGTAAAACCCTTTACTGGCACAGTCTAAAGAAATTCCTTTGAAGCAGGAAACATAAAATTTGCTTCGATATGTGAAGCCAAGCCCTGGAAATGCGTCACTTCTGTTGAAGCTTTGTCAGACTCTTTTTGATGTGCCACATGTTACATCATTTTCTTCTAAGAGAAGAGGACCAATTATTGCCATTGAAGTGATGTGATGGCACAGTGCTAGCTTTCTTCAGATCAAACAAGGCTTTCCTCTCAGCATAAAGGACTCTTTGCTGGGAGTTTGAATGTTGCTGTTTTGCTTTTCTAATAATGATCTTTGGTCTTGTTTCTTTCTCTTTTTTTTTTTTTTTTAAATGCAGGTTTTCCAGCTTGCTGCACATCTGGTTTACTGGGGAAAAGCAATTATTGTCTATCCACTGTGTGAAAACAACGTCTATATGCTGTCCCCCAATGCCAGTGTTTGTCTGTAAGTAGACAGACCATGAGTGCCTGTAGTGGGACTGCTTTGAAAAATGCAGATGTGTTTTCCCTGGGCATTTATTTGGGCAGGGCGGTGATATTTTCTGCTATATTGAAGTTGTTGACATGTACAAATAGTATAATTTGCTTGAATTTCACGAGCCCTTAAGGGCTGTTCAGTGCAGGGATGAACAAAGGAATTGGGCAGCTCTTCTGTTGCAATGACAGGTGTGCTTGCCTTCACTTGCACACTTATAGAGTGGGTAGCAAATTTCAGGAGCTCAGTACTGTGTTGTCATCATGAAATTGCTCTGTGAACATAGACCATTTTTAAACCTTTCAATACTCTTGGCTGCTGAGTATGTCCAAGAAGGACTCTTGCATGGAGCCAAAGGGAGTATCTGTCTTAATCAATTCCCTTCCAATGCAGGGGCTTCAGGCATAGGTGTACCTTGTGTGATGGGTTCCATTGCAGAGACCCCCTTGAGGCTATCACCTGACATGCTGGAATTATCTCTGAGCCCATTTTCCACTGCCAGCTTGGGACTCCAGAACCCTGCCTTGTTGAGCCAGACATGCTAGTCTGCTGCAACGCAGACCCAGGTCTGGTCCACGCCCTCAAAGCTGCAGATTTTAACCAAAAACTGCTCAGCAAGTCACCTATCTCCAGCACCCAGACACCCAGTTCCCAATGGGATCCAAACCCCAAATAAATCCATTTTACTCTGTATAAAGCTTATACAGGGTAAACTCATAAATTGTCCGCCTCTATAACACTGATAGATCTGCACAGCTGTTTGCTCCCCCAGGTATTAATCACTTACTCTGGGTTTATTAATAAACAGTGATTTTATTAAGTATAAAAAGTAAGATTTAAGTGGTTTCAAGTAATAACAGCCAGAACAAAGTAAGTTACCAAGCAAAATAAAACAAAACAAGAAGTCTAAGCCTAATATATTAAGAAACTGATACAGGAAATATCTCACTCCCAGAGATTTTCCAATAAGCTTCTTTCACAGACTATACTCCTCCTTAGTCTGGGCCCAATCCTTTCCCCGGTACAGTTCTTGTTAGTTCCAGCTCAGGTGTAACTCGGGAATTTCTCATGTCTGGCAGCCTCCTTTGTTCTGTTCCACACCCTTTATGGCTTTGGCCCAAGGCGGGAATCTTTTGTCTCTCTGGGTCCTCACCCCTCCTTCTAAATGGAAAAGCATCAGGTTTAAGATGGATTCCAGTATCCTGTGACATGGTCACATGTCCTGTGAGACCTCATTCTTCATTACCCACGTCAGGTACACAGGAAGGCTTGCAGGTAAACAGAGCCATTCACAACCAGTTGTCCTAGTTAATGGAAGCTATCAAGATTCCAAGCACTTTGCATAGTTACAATAGGACTTCAGAGTACTACTTCATATTTCTAGCTTCAGATACAAGAATGATACATTCATACAAATAGGATGAACACACTCAGTAGATTATAAGCTTTGTAATGATACCTTACTAATGACCTTTTGCATAAAGCATATTCCACTTGCATTATATTCACACTCATAAGCATATTTCCATAAACATATGAAGTGCAACGTCATACCTTGGTCTTTCCTATTCTCTGCATGTGGCACATAATTGTTTAGTCTCCTCTGGGCTATAATACTTTGGTCTAATTTCACTTGATGGGTTTAACTTGCACTGTGCAGGTGCTGGGAGGTATTGATGGCCTGTGATATACAGGAAGTCAGACTAGATCAAGAGTGGGCAAACTTTTTGGCCCGAGGGCCACATCGGGGAATAGAAATTGTATGGCTGACAAAATTGGGGTTGGGGTGCGGGAGTGGGTGCAGACTCTGGGGTGGGGCTGGGGATGAGGAGTTTGGGGTGTAAGAGGGGCTTTGGGCTGGGACCGAGGGGTTTGGAGGGCAGGAGGGGGATTAGGGCAGAGATGTGGGAAGGAGTGCAGGCTCTGGCTGGGGGTGTGGGCTCTGGGGTGGGGCTGGGGATGAGAGGTTGGGGTGCAGGAGGGGGCTGGGACTGAGAGGTTTGAAGGGTGGGAGGGGGATCAGGGTTGGGGCAAGGGGTTGGGGTGTGGGGAGAGGCTCAGGGGGTGCAGGCTCAGAGTGATGCTTACCTCAAGCGGCTCCCGGAAGCAGTGGCATGTCCCTTCTCCAGCTCCTACACGGAGGTGCGGCCAGGTGGCTATGCGCGCTGCCCCATCCGCAGGCGCCGCCCCTGCAGCTCCCATTGGAGAGCTTCCAGGAGCCGCATGGTGCAGCCCCCAACCCAGTGCCCCAGCTGGAGTGGGGCTGAGCCACGTGGTGCGGCTCGCGGGCCTGCTTAAAACTGCTTGCGGGCTGAATCCGGTGCTCAGGCCGTAGTTTGCCCACTCCTGGACTAGATGATCTGGTGATCCCTTCTAACCTTAAATTTTATGTTTCTAAGCAATATGGAAATACTCAAAGCAAGACAAACATCTCAGTAAATTCTGTGTGGTTAAATCAATGGGTAGCTGCTTTTGATAGGCAGCCTGTCTGCGTGCCTGGCATGTGATATTTCAGTAGCAGGTAACTCAGAAGCATAAACAGCAGCAACATGGTGGGGTCCATTACAGTCACTATTTTCATTGTAATTAATCCTAGTGGTAATTGTGGCTTCTAATCAAGACTGGGGCTTGGATAAAGATGAGCTGCATATAAAGCTCAGCCTGTGCCAGACAGACGGTAGTGGGGTGGGGGAAGGATGTTGAGGGTATGTTGGGTAATTCCTGCTCCACTGTTAAAAAGTTGTCCACCTTTTCCTCACTAAAACAACAAGGAGTCTGGTGGCACCTTAAAGACTAACAGATTTATTTGGGCATAAGCTTTCGTGAGTAAAAACCTCACTTCTTAAGTGGTTTGTGTACAGATTCCACTTAAGAAGTGAGGTTTTTACTCACGAAAGCTTATGCCCAAATAAATCTGTTAGTCTTTAAGGTGCCACCAGACTCCTTGTTGTTTTTGTAGATACAGACTAACACGGCTACCTCCTGATACTCTTTTCCTCACTGAACTTGCAATTGTGGTGCTTTCAAATTCCAGATTAGTTCTGGAACCTCAGGTGGTATTGAGCCCATGAGCACCTTTATGCACTGGTGGCTGTCACATCTGCTTTGGATTACTGCAGTGTGTAATGTACATGTATAACGTGTAATCTACACACAAACTACTTTGAAGTGACAGCTACCATTTGGTATTGGCTTTTGGACTGGCAAGTTTAGACCATGGAAACCTATTACACCTGTTCTTCAATAGTTGTGCTGGTTTCCTATTCTTTTCTGAGTACAGTTCAAGATTCTGACATTGATTCATAAACCACAACCTGGCCTAGTTGCTGGCTCTCTGAAAGACTCTCCTCTCCTTGGGATCTGCCGCAGCAATTGAGTGCGGTGGTGTTGTAGCCGTGTTGGTCCCAGGATATTAGAGAGACAAGGTGGGTGAGGTAATATCTTTTATTGGACCAACTTCTGTTGGTGAGAGAGACAAGATTTTGAGCTATACAGAGCTCTTCCTCAGGTCTGGGAAAGGTACTCACAGTGTCATAGCTAAATACAAGGTCAAACACCTAATTTAGCATAATTAGTTAGCACATATTCTGAGGGACCATTCAAGGTGAAGTGGCCTGTTAACACCCCTGTAGTCATAGGATAAAAAGTGGGGTTAGTGGGTTACACATTGTAATAATCCATAAATCCAGTGTCTTTATTAAGACCATGATTTTTAGTGTGATTTTAAGCTCCCAGGCTCATCTTTCGAAAATGTTGAGCAGGTTTTCTTTGAGGATGAGGACTGATAGGTTAGATATAGAGTGATCACTTTGTGAAAATTGTTCACCCACAGGCGATGTGGTGTTTTTCTTTTACTGTTTTCCTGAGTTAGCTCATTCAAGAGCGTAGTGATTGTCTGGTTTCACCCACATAGTTGTTGGGGTATTTAGTGCCCTGGATGAGGTACACCACATGTTGTGATAGGCATGTCTAGCACCCATGGATCTTGAAAGGTGTATTTTGTGTGTGTGTATGGGGGGAGCGGGATGTATTGATCATCGTAGCAGAGGAGGGTTCTGGCAGGGTCTGGTGCTACTTAGAGATCGTGTGTCTTGGTCTGTGGGGAGCTTGCTTCTGATGGTGATCTTGAAGAGTTTGGGGGGTTGTTTGAAGCCAGAAGAAGGGATTAAGGAAAGATTTCTTCAGAATAGGGTCCCCATCAAGTATGTGTTTTACTTGTTTGATATCTCGTATGGATTCCAGTGTGGGGTGGTAGGTGACAACTAGGGGTGTAAGATCAGAGGGAGTTTTATTTCTGTGTTGAAGCTGGTTCTCTCTGGATATTTGGGCGACCTATTCCATGATTACATTTACTTCTCTGGTGAAGTGTCCTTGTTTGGTGAAAGCAGCTTTGCATGTTTTAAGATGTATAGCCCGGATTTTCTCTTCAGAGTATATTCTGTGGTATCTGAGGGCCTGGCTGTAGATAACAGATTTCTTGGTGAGTTTGGGGTGGTTACTGGATCTATGAAGTTAAGTGTGGTGATCTCTGGGTTTCTTATATATAGTTGTCTGTGGTGTTCCATTGCTGAAGCTGATTATGGTGTCCAGGAAGTTGATGCTAGTCTGGAAGTGTTCCAGAGAGAGTTTAATGGTAATTATTGAAGTTGTGGTGGAAATCTATGAGGGAGTTTAAGTTGTCTGTCCAGAGGCTGAAAATATCATCTATGTATCTCAGGTATATCAATGGTTTTGTGGTATGTTTGTCCAGAAATCCTTCAAGGTGGCCCAGGAAGAGGTTGGCATATTGGGGAGCCATCCTAGTACCCAGGGCTGTTCCCATGGTTTGCACAAAGTGTTTATTGTTGAACGTAAAATTGTTATGGGTGAGGCTGAAATGGATGAGTTATGCGATTGTGTTTGGGGTGGATATCTGAGGGTTGTCCATTGTCTTGAAAATATTTGAGGCAGGCAGCTATGCTTTCATTGTGAGGAATGTTGTTGTATGGGGAAGTGATATCCATGGTGGCAAAGATGATGTTCTGAGGGAGGTTGTTAATGTTGTGGAGTTTGTGGAGGAAGTCAGTTGTGTCCTGGAGGAAGCTGGCCCTTTGTGTGGTGAGTGGCTTCAGGATGATTTTTGAGAGTCCCCATATTCTTTCAGTGAGAGTGCTGTGGCCACTCTCTGCCTGGGAGTTGTATCTGCCTGGGTTCCCTTTAATAAAGACACTGGATTTAGGACTTATTACAAAAATCTGTAGCCAACCCTCCTTTTTGTCCTATGACTACAGAGGTGTTAATGGGCCACTTCACCTTGAATGGTCCCGTAGAAACTATGTGCTATTTATGCTAACCTATCTGTTCAACCTTGTATTTAGCTGTGACACTGAATACCTTTCCCAGACCTGTAGAACAGCTCTGTGTAGCTTGAAAGCTTGTCTCTCCCACCAACAAAAATTGGTCCAGTAAAAGTTATTACCTCACCCATCTTGTCACAGGAGTTGAGTTCATTTGGGGCTATGGAGCTAGCAATTCCTATACTTATTTGTGATGGTCCTGGTCTCTGGGAGTTCTCAGTTGGGGGCTCTTGACTCTGGAATTACCTCCTCCATCCACTTTGCAGAGTCAGACTTTATCAGGCACGATGCAAGGCCCATCTTTTCTGTCAAGCATGGAAGTAAAGAGGGGACTGTTTGTGGGGATCATCCTTTGTACTACCTCTGGAAAATTGTACGTTCCTAATTATGTAAGTTATGAGCCTGTGCCCTGAGCAATATGGAAGAACACATTTAAGTCAAGCCTAGGGAGGAGTCTAAGATTTACCTCAGCCAGCTAAGTCCATGTAAAAGGTGCTATCCTGTGTTTAGGCAATAGATGTTGTCTGTTAGCTGACCCCAACCTGATCTTGACCTCTTAGCACATGTAAGGGTTTGTCTAGATTAGGCAAACAGTAGAAGTTTGTGCTGAAGCAGAGTGTGATTTGTCTATACTATGCGATAATGTGCACTTACGGGGAGGCGGGGTTTAAAGTGCGCTAATGTGTTGCTCATAAATTGGTCTCTGTAGGGTATCTTTAGTGCACACCAGCAGGTCTAGTGTGCTTTAACATAGTGCTGTTTGAAACAGAATTACATTAGTGCGCAGTGGGGAACCTTTAGGGTATGCCTACACTTGGAGCTTGGCTTGTGATTCCTACCTCGAGGAGATGTACTCGTGCTAGATCTTATCGAGCTAGCATGCTAAAAATAGTCATGTAGCCATGGTACAGCAGTGAGCAGTAGGAAGGGTTCGCTCCCCCGAGGACAAACCCACACAGACTCCATGGGTATATACTTGGGCAGCTAGCTCAAGCCGCTGCCCTTGCTACAGTGACTGCACTACTAACTCACATCCCCAGCTCTAAGTGTAGACAGACCTTTAGTGTACACCAGCAGGATCTAAGTGGACTAATTAATGTGCAACACGCCACTGTGCTTTAGAAATCCCACCCCCAGAAGTGCACGTTACTCCACTGTGTAGACAAACCCGTAGATGATGTTTTGTCCTTCCAACGGAGCTAGGGATAGTGAGATGAAGATATTGCATCTGTTTGTTGAATTTAAAAAAAAAATCTGTAATAATGGGCCATGGGAAAATAGATCCAATTAATTAATGAGTCTGTGATTAAAATAAAAAATCTGTGGCAAAAGCTAATACCACATTGAATATGTTCATTATTTTCTCACGTAATCAGGATACTAGATGTCATAAACCATAATGGCCTTCTTTATTATTTACCTAAAACATAAAGAATATTTTTGTTGTGAATTGGCACATCTTGTGCAATGAATGTGTATTAGTAAGTTTATGTAAATTCTGTTTAGACAACAGTGCAAGACTAATTTCCTCTTGTACCTCTTTTTCATAGTTACTCCCCTTTGGCAGAGGAATTTTCATGTCAGTTTCCTGGCCATGATTTGCCGTCTGTGCTTTCCAAGTTCTCTTTGCCAGTTTCCTTATCAGAGTTCAAGAATCCGCTAGCTCCGCCAGTACAGGAGGTAAGTTATGGGGGAGCATGTAAAAGCTCATGATTGACAGACACCAGACCCCTCATGATTGATCTGTTTAATGTGAGCATGGGGATGAGAATGTCCAACTAGGAGCTTTCAGAGCTCTTGTGGATTCAAAAATCTTTCAATTACTGGGCTTCCTAGCCACCCATTCAAATTACTTTACATCCACGTGATAAAAATCCGTAGGCAGGTCTAGTTGGAACCATTTGAGTGATCTGTGCTGAAAAGCATGTTGCTTAATGAAATTGCTGAGTGTACTCCCTTACATCTTATAAAATGCCCTGAGTAAGATGACAAGGGAAAATTGAAAATCAAAATTGGATTGAAAAAAAAACATGTCCTAGTTCAAACAGGTATTATTTAGGGCAAGGTCTATGGCCTGTGTTATACAGGAGGTTAGACTAATCAGAGGTTCTCAAACTTCATTGCACCGCGACCCCCTTCTGACAACAAAAATTGCTACATGACCTCAGGATGGGGGACCGAAGCCTGAGCCTGCCCAAGCTCCGCTGCCGTGGGAAGGGGAGGCAAAGCCAAAGCCTGACGGCTTCAGCCCCAGGTGGGGGGCTTTGGCTTTGGCCCTGGGCGGTGGGGCTCGGGCTTCAGCCCCAGGCCCCAGCAAGTCTAACGCCAGCCCTGGAGACCCCATTAAAACAAGGTTGCAACCCACAGTTTGAGAACCGCTGGGTCACTAGCTGATCATAGTGATGCCTTCTGGCTTTGGAACCTATGAAAAATTCTATTTGCTCTATAGAAAATTGTCCTGATCCCCATGAATCTTTCATCTATAATATGTACATAGAATGTACCTTTCTCAGAAACACAAAGATAAAGAGCTATTTTTATATATTCCAGCTGCTTTAGACTTGCAATCTGGATTTAAAAGCAAGCTGTACTGTGTATTTACTTAGGCTTCTATATGATGCTGAAGGAGTTTAAAGGCTAATCCAAGAAGTGGACTTCAGCATGTAGTCAACAAAAGTGCATGTGTTACAATTTTATAGTATTAAGGTTTTCAGATTTGTGTTTTACTGTTTGTTCAAGCAATTAAGGCTTGGGGAATTTCCTGAGGACTAGTGAAAGGCTGGGAAGAGCGAATGGCCTCAGGCCACCAGCCCTATGAAAATGCTTTAGGCTGAAGTAATTGTTCTTCTTCGAGTGCTGTCCCTGTGGGTGCTCCACTCCAGGTGACGGTGCGTCCTGGCGCTGTTGACCTCTTGGGCCGCAAGGTTTATACCTCCTCCACTCTGCAATTCAGAATTGCAAACTATTCCACTCTACTTGCAAGCTACGACTTCGATAACTACAATAAACTCGTTGATTTTACCTCCCATATCCCAGAGGACAGGAGAGCAGACTTTAAGTCAGTCCTCGTCAAGGGCCAATTGGTATCCAGAACGGCCCTACAAGCATCTCTAGACATGGCGGACACAGCAGCCTGCACTACTGCAACTGCAGTGGTTATGTGCAGATCTTCCTGGCACTCTGCATCCAATATCCCCAAAGACCTGCAGACCAAAGTGGAGGACCTCCCCTTTGATAAAGATAAACTCTTTTCCAAGAAAACCAACAAAGTCCTTCACACAATGAAAGACTCTAGTGACCCTGCGCACCCTGGGCATTTACCCATCCCTTCCCAGGAGACAACGGTATCAACCTTATCAGAGGCCACGCACACAACAGTATCACCGGCCTCAGCCCAGACCATACGATATACCCAGGAATCGCGCTAGACCTCCTAGGCGCAGACAAAACCAAGCACAACAGCTACCTCCCACCCATCAGAAAATAAACAATAATTTTGAAGCATTGGTCCAGGGTCTGCACGACCACCCCTTGACTCCACTGCCTATTTACCCATTTGGCCACCGTCTCCAGGTTTTCCACCATGCCTGGCAGCAGATTACACAGGACCGTTGGGTCCTGGAAATAGTTCAGTCCGGTTACTCCATCCCTTTTATATCCTACCCTCCTACCCTTCCCCGTCCCTCTTCAGGGACCCCTCTCACAAGCACCTACTTCACATAGAAGTGGCTCATCTTCTACAGCTAGGTGCAGGGGAACCTGTGCCGACACAACGTCGAGGAAAAGGGTTCTACTCCCATTACTTTCTGACCCAGAAAAAGACCGGGAGATGGAGGCCTATACAGTAACTCCTCACTTAACGTTGTAGTTATGTTCCTGAAAAATGCGACTTTAAGCGAAATGATGTTAAGAGAATCCAATTTCCCCATAAGAATTAATGTAAATGAGGGGGTTAGGTTCCAGGGAAATTTTTTTTCACCAGACAAAAGACACTATCCATCCATCCATCCACACACAGTATAAGTTTTAAACAATTTAATACTGGTACACAGTGCTGATGATTGTGAAGCTTGGTTGAGGTGGAGGAGTCAGAGGGTGGGATATTTCCAGGGAATGCCTTACTGCTAAATGATGAACTAGCAATTGGCTGAGCCCTCAAGGGTTAACTCTCACACTCTACTGTACAAGGCAGCAGGAAAAGAGGGAGGGCGGACAGAGACACACACCCTGTGTGTGTGTGTGTGTGAGAGAGAGAGAGAGAGAGATGCGCATTTCCCCTTTAAGTATGAAGAGTGGGGTCAGAAGTACATTGGCTTGTTAATTAGATCAGCAAGCTGAGACCAGACCGCAGCTGCTGCTGCCTGGAAGCTTCCTCTGTCGTGTGTCCCCCCTGCTCTTTGGAAGTTGGGGTAAATGGGGTGCAAGAGCAGAGGGGAGGGGGACACCTTGACATTAGCTCCCCTCTTCCTTCCCCCCCCCCCCCCCCCCCCAGCAAGCAGGAGTCTCGGGGAGCAGCTCCAAGGCAGAGAGCAGGAGCAGCACATGGCAGTGGTGGGAGGGACAGCTGCAATTGCTAGCCTGCTGAGCAGCTGCTGCACAGGGAAGTTAGGGGAGCAGGGAGCTGATAGGGGAGAGCTGATAGGGGGGCTGTCGGTCCACCCTGGTTCCAACCACCCACCAGCTAGCTCCATTGGGCTGCTCTTCCTGCAAGCAGTGGACAAAGCAGGCGGCTGCCAAACGACGTTAGAAGGGAGCATTGCACAACTTTAAATGAGCATGTTCCCTAATTGATCAGCAACGTAACAACGAAACAACATTAACCGGGACGACCTTAATTGAGGACTTACTGTACTAGACCCACACCGACTGAACAAATTCGTAAGGGTACAGAAATTCAAGATGGTCACACTGGGCACAATAATACCTGCACTGGAACAAGGGGACTGGTTCACAGCCCTCGACCTACAGGATGCCTATTTTCACATATCCATTCATCCAGCCCAAAGACGCTTCCTGCGATTCACACTCGGACACGACCATTTTCAATACCGGGTACTCCCATTCGGACTCTCCACAGCACCAAGAGTATTCTCCAAAACCCTAGCTGTAGTTGTGGCCCACCTCCGCAGACACGGGATCATACTTTTCCCCTACCTATACTATGCCTCATCAAAGGCAACTCATACTATGAGATGCTACAAGCTATCCATTTCACCATCTCCCTCTTCCACAGCTTAGGCCTGCAAATAAACGTTCAAAAATCCACCCTGACACCTACACAGCAAATCGAATTCATTGGTGCTCACCTGGACTCAATTCGAACCAGAGCCTCACGCCCACACAATAGATTCCTCGCTATCACACATTTCATACGCATGCGCTCTGTTCGTCCCAGGATAAAGGCAAGAATTTGCCTACAGCTCCTTGGCCACATGGCAGCCACCACCTTCATGGTCAAGTACGCCAGGCTGCACATGAGATGTCTTCAGGGTTGGCTCAACTCTAACTACAAACCCAGCAGGCACAGCCTCTGCATGCTGCTAACTCCTCCAGCGAACGTACTAGCTTCCCTACAATGGTGGACAAGACCAGAGAACCTCTGCATGGGCGTTCCCTTCCAGCAACGATCCCCGATGCTCATGCTCACCACAGACGCTTCCCTGATCGGTTGGGGAGCGCATCTGGGGGCACACACGGCACAAGGCCACTGATCCGTGCCAGAGACGCGTCTACACACACATCTCCTAGAGCTCAGAGCAGTGAGACAAGCCTGCCTTCACTTTTTCCCCCCCCATAAAGAACAAATCTGTCCGGGTCCTAGCGGACAATATAGCATATATATATTTACATCAACAGACATGGGGGAGCACGATCACACTCCCTATGTATGGAGGCCATCCAGTTGTGGAATTGGTGCATACAACACCACATACAAATTACTGCTTCGTACCTATCCGGCTGCCACAACACTAGTGCCGACGCACTCAGCAGACATTTCTCCACAGAACACGAATGGGAATTGCACCCCGCGATACTACAACAGTTCTTCTCCCACTGGGGCACCCCGTCAATAGACCTCTTTGCTACAACCCAGAATCGCAAATGCCACCTATTTTGCTCCAGAGCGGGATTTGGGACTGCATCTCTAGGAGACGCGTTCCTTATCCCATGGAACAACTCTCTCGTATGCCTTTCCACTGATCCCTCAGATACACAGGGTTCTGTGCAAGATCAGAGACAACAAGGCCCGGGTCATACTTATTGCCCCAGCTTGGCCGAGACAGACATGGTATCCTTACCTGCTCCACATGTCCACCCATCCTCCATGGACTCTCCCCTCAGACCAGATCTGCTTTCTCAGGACAACGGGCGGATTCTTCACCCTCAGCTCCAGAAACTCCACCTGACAGCATGGTTCCTTCATGGTTCCAGACCCATGAACTAGTCTGTTCCGAGCAAGTCTTCCTGCATAGTAGAAAAGACTCCACTCATAAAACTTACCTGCAGAAGTGGAAGCGCTTCTCCCTGTGGTGCTCACATAAACACTTAACACCCCATACTGTAACCCTTCCTAACATCCTAGACTACCTTTTGAAACTAAAACAGGATGGACTCTCGCTCAGCTCCATCAGAGTACACCTCGCAGACCTCACCACCTTCCATGATTTGTTAGATAGCTA